AAAAAAAAAAAAAAAAAAAAACAGATGACACAAGAATAGCAAAATGCTGCTAGTGGTTGACGCTGGATGATGAACACATGAAGGGGACCATTAAACTATTCCCTTTGTGTTGAGTGTGTTTGAAATATTTTCACAGTAAGTGAAAAAACAAACTGGAAATTTTACTAGACTGAATCTCCCTCCGCTATTTGCCTCACACCCACACCCATTTTGGGGGTCTCTGATGCCCTTCTATTTTGTCAAAAGGAATTCACTTTAGTTCCATTTACTTCTCAGGAATTTCCTAAGAAATGGTTTCAGATGCCCACCATAACTCTGAGTCTTAGAAGGAATTTTCTTTTTACTTTTTGATTTTCTTCTTTCTTTTTTATGTGTATTTATTTATTAGATATTAGAAGATCAGAAGAGCTTTCCTTGTTAAAGCCTTCTGGTGACTATTTTAAAAAGAAGAAAAAAAAAGATAAAAATAATAAGGAGCCCATCATTGAAGATATTTTAAACCTGGAGTGTTCGCCGACAATTTCAGGTCCACCAGGTAAGATTCATGACAAGTGTTTTGTTGTTTTAGTTCATTCTTAAATCCCAAGAATTCCCCTCCCCTCAGCTCTGCATTTCCTCTTCCCTCCTCCTCCCCTCTCCCCCAAACAAAATTGCAGGATTCCTGTGAAGAGAAAGGATATCTAATTAATTTTAGAACTAACCATATTTTTAACAAGGTGTATGTTACAGCTCATTATTTTGATTTATTTATTTATTTTTGGTGAGGAAGATTCACCCTGAGCTAACATCTGTTGCCAATTTTCCTCCACTTTGCATATGGGTCGCCACCACAGCACGGCGACTAAGTCGTGTAGGTCTGCACCCGGGATCCAAACCCACAAACCCGGGCCACCAAAGCGGAGAATGCCAAACCCAACCACTATGCCACAGGGCCAGTCCCCAGCTCATTATTTTAATTGTATATGTTATGTTGCTGATTGATGCAAAACTTTCATGGAACTGGCCATGTATTTAGGGGGAAAAGAGATTGTTTGGATCACTCAATTATACTTCTCTTTTCCTGATTCTGTCTTCACATGACTCTTCTGAACTCAATTTCAATTTTGCACTGGGCAGGTAACAGGAGGGCAGGTAAAAATTCTGGAAAGGCATCATCCTTTTCTTTTTACATAAAAATAAATAAATCTCTAACTTGCTTGCAACATGGAGGGTTTTCTTGCATAGTATATTCCAATGCAAAGAATAAAAGATTATTTGCACTTTCCTTACACAAGGATTTATAAACCATCAGTTAGCTGGGTTCTTAAAATTGGCAAGTACTGCTATTTGCTCAAGAGATTTGCCCGAAAATATAGTACATACATGCATTCTGTGAGATCTCTGGTTCTCTAATAGTACCAAAAGTCACTGCTGAGATAGGAGAATTTTGAATTATTGAGAAGGAGATAGTCCCCAACATTTGTCTGGGTTGATTTTGGAAACTTTTACAGCCTATGAATTCCTCAGCTTTCAGAAGCTAAATATTCAGGTAAGAGTTTTACCTGTGTTCAACTTCTCTCCCCATCAATTATGTCTCATCTAATTATTTTAAATGGTGCAAACATTTAAATTCAAAATCCATTTTAGTATAAGCAGTGTTAGTACTTATTTTTCCAAAGAATCTTATGTCATAGTGCGTGTTCCCTTCTGTCTTGCAGTAAGTCCTGGCTTATACAGTAAAACCATGACTCCCACATATGACCCCATCAATGGAACACCAGCGTCATCCACCATGACTTGGTTCAGTGACAGCCCTTTGACCGAACAAAACTGCAGCATCCTTGCATTCAGCCAACCCCCCCAGTCACCAGAAGCGCTTGCTGATATGTACCAGCCTCGGTCTCTGGTTGATAAAGCCAAGCTTAACGCTGGGTAAGGACGTGGCTCCTTTTTGCTTCTCTGTGAACTGATGTTGATATAGTAAGATGCTATAGAGATGGGGGTTTAATTTTTAAGTTAGCATGCCTGGGGATTATATACTGTTAGCAAAAGTCAGTACTGATTTAGCAATAAAAGGGAAAAATGCAGCCTGTGGTCATTTCAATACATTTAAAGGGTGACAAAATTTATGTGTTCAGGTAACTTAATGGTTTACCATATGTGCCTACTAATTCTTTGCCCCTACGGTGTGCAAAGTGTGTTTTATGGAATGTAGAGCAGTTTATAAGTGAGTTGGTCCCTGTGGGTCAGTGGGGGAGACCCAAGGTAGCCCACCTGGCCCACACTGTCTTTTGTAGAACACCGCATCTCTCTTTAGGCTTTCTCAGGAGTGAGTCCTTCAGCTTCGTCTGAAGTGGTCTCAGAAAATACACTCAGACTATTTCTCAAACCACCATTTCTTTCGCTCTGTATTGTTCACCAAATGAAGTCAAATTTGTTAACAGCATTCTACTCCCTATGAGGTCTGGCCCAGCAGCTGTCTCTATACTGCTGTGCTCTCGTGTACCCCATTCCACCACGGTGCACACTCCCTCTTCTGTCACTGCCTCACCTCTAGGTTTTGCCCTGCTCCGGGATTCTTCTTTTCTCCTGCTCTACTGGCCAGTCTCTGCTTGTCCTTTAAGGCCTGGCCACATAGTGTCTCCTTCTCAGATGTCACAAATCAAGATCAGTCACCTCCTGGAGTTCTGTTCTAACACCTTGCTTGCTCCAGTGTCACCTTGTTCATTTATTACAAGGCTTGGTCTCCCCCACAGAACTGTTAGTTCCTTTAGGATGGAGATTGCATCTCAGTTATCCGTGTTCTCCCACAGGGCCTAATATAATAGACGTTCAAGCCATTTTCATTCAGTGGTATTGGATGACGCTCAGCCTTGCCTCGTTTGGTTGTTAACTTTTAATCTCCATCCCTCACTATTACCCGGTATTCATGTTTCAACTCTGGAAATGTGCTATCCACTACAGGAGCCACTAGCCACAAATGGATATTTACATTTAAATTTGAATTTAATTAAAATTAAAACATGGCACTAGCCACATTTAAATCTTCAGTAGCCGCGTGTAGCTAGAGGCTACTCTGTTGGACAGGGCAAGATAGAATATTTCCATCATTACAGAAAGTTCTAGACAAAAGGATAGAGCCAGCGCTGGGTTAGACCAACTGGTGCAGCAGAGAGGCCGTGCGGGAAGTCAGCAAGTACAGGTTCTCATTCTGGCTCCACCACGAGGTGCATGGCCTTGAACTTATCACTTAATGTCACCGAGACTCAGTTTCCTCATCCATAAAACTGAGAAAATAAGAACTGCCCTGGCTCCTTCACTGAGTTACTGTAACATGTCGGTGAGGAAACACATGCCTTTCCAAAAGGCACTTGGAAAGCTATAAAAGCTGTAAAACAAAATGCAGATGTAAGCTATTATCAATTCCTCTCCCTTACTGGCTTTTGGTTATATTACTTACTTGGACTTTGTTCAAGGTGGTATAGGTCTGCATATATATATGTATATATGTTTGTATATATGTATGTCTTATATATATATCTGTATATAGATATGTATATATCTGTGTATAGATATATATGTAATGTATATAATATATATGTATACAGATATATATATATATCTGTGTATATATATACATTACCTACGCATGTGTATATATTTACATATATATGTATATGTATATATAAACATTTCTATAGTACTATAATATATATGTGTAAAATTGATTGACTTTTAAAACTCATCCTATTGTTTTCTAGTTGGCTGGACTCCTCACGTTCCCTTATGGAACAAGGCATCCAGGAGGATGAGCAGCTGCTGTTACGATTTAAATACTACACTTTCTTTGACTTGAATCCCAAAGTAAGATACTTTTTCTCTATTCTCTTTTTTTTTAATGTGAATGTATGGAAGTGTAAAATTGAGTCATTTAGTTATCAAAATTAGGATTAATTTGTGTAATCTTCTGTTTAGCTCTGCAGGGTTAGACCAATAAATGTATACTGGTCTCTGGATTTTCATCTTTTAGTTTCTAGCGAGTGTGGTCAGCCACCGCTCTGCATTCACAGGAATGAAGGAACAGGAAGAGAGCTGCTCACAGAGCCGGGGTCCTTGATGCTTAGGAAGGAAGGACTTGTCAGGGCCCAGGTTAAGAGCAGGTGCTGGTGAGAAGCCAGGACACCATGATGGCACACACCAGACTCCGCACTGCAGTGCCAAATAAGTCTTTGGTGATGAGAAAGAGGGCTCCTCTATGTAAATAAAGACCCCAGCTGGTCACCAACTCCCATCTTAAGTGCACATCTCCCACCTGAGGTTTACTAGGACAGCTGAGTGATGACGTAAGTCCCCTGAACTCCTGCCCCTTCCTTGCCCTTGATTCACCCTTTAGTGTTTTGAGTCAGCACTTCAATGGCCAAATGTAGAAAATATGAACTGGGTCACCAGTCCTCTGAGTGCACTGGGTGATTTCATCGTATTGTTTCCATCCAGTTTCGTGCTTGTTGCTCTTTTCCCTTTCCTGCTGGGCACTTGTCTGAGGGCCCTGCCTCAAGTCACTCTTTCTGTGCAGAGGCTCTTCTCATCCACAGCAGTGTTTCTGCCTCTCATGGCACTGTCTTCTCTTTGGTCCTGATTTTGAGTCTGGTCTTCAAAGGCCCATCTCAGCTTCTACTGCTTCCCTAACTGGCATCTTCTTCAAAATAAGCCTTATTCCTGGTCATTTCTGTGGAGTTCCTGCTCAATCTTTGGTTTAGATCCAACTTCATGGCCATGAACCTAGCTTGTGTCTGGAGGGCATAACTTCCAGTGAATCATGGCAAAAGAGCAAATTTTGACTCTTCTTTGATAAAACCTGCAGGAGAAATTACTGTACTGCTCCTTGTAAGCAATTGTTTTTTGGTTTTTTTTAAGGGCACTGTGAATTATACAACTGTCCAGGTTTTGTTTTTTGTTTTTTTTGCATTGTCTGCTAGCACCAAATCTATACATTTACTGTGATTTCATTTATAAGCCTCATTCCTTACTTGACTTTACTCTTCCCTTGCTTAAATCGTGGTTAATTTAAGGTATCTTGTTGTATGCTATCTATCCTAATAAACTGCCTTAAATTTTTTTTCTGAAACTAGATAATACATAAATAAAATATATTCATGCGTTTTCTAATTGCTAAGTCAGTAATTTGGCCCCATCTTATCTATTCAAACTTGTGCCCCTAGTGTTTGTTTATTCATTTATTTGTTGAGCAGCTACTGTGCACCAAGAACTAAGCTAGCAGCTGAGAACCTAAAACTGCTGGACATTAGAATAATGTTTTCAAATTAATGAAATAAAATACATAGGATTACAAAATGAAACAGTTATATTGAACTGTAGTAACCAAAATATTTTTTGAAATGGATATAGTAACATATGTGTTTAATTAGTTGAGAAGATAATAAGAACTAGTGGCAGGTCTCATAGCTAGCATAATTTCAAAGTGGTGATGCATGTGAGCATTATTTGAAAACAACAACTGTGATACAATAGGAAAAATCTGTGATTCTGGTGGTCACAAAGTCACAAGTACTCTGAAATACTGTGGTTTGTTGCCTACATTGATCATGGAAGGAAATGCTAAATTTCCGTTAGAAGTTGATGTAAACGGAGATGTAGTTTTTCCTCATCCAACCTCATGGACTACCTGATTCAGACCCCCAGATCCAAGAACCCCAGATTCAGAACGCCTGGCCTGATACCACGTTCAAAACTTATCCCTTCCAGAAAGGAGCTTTTCTCTACTCTTGATCACACTGGCCTTTCCCTTCTCTGAGCCACAACTGAGTACAATTTCAGGACTCACACCTCTAATTGTACCACATTCATGGATTTTCTCTACAAATCAACTGCAGACTCCTTGGAGGAAGGGACCACTTCTGATACTTCCCTTGTCCCCTACCCCCACGTGCTGCAAGGATGCTGAGAGAGTCAGACTTGCCTAGCCACCGGCTCTGTGATGGGATCAGCTGGCCTTTGGGGACCCTCCTATCAATTTCCTTCCCAAGAGATTCTTCATTAAATCTCTTGCTTTGTCAGTTAAGCTTAATGCCAAAAATCAAGAAGCTCAGGCATCTACCCCTGAAAACGTTGTCAGGAACATGTAAGCTACTTCCCAGTCAAAGAATTCAGACATGGCAGATCATCAGTGTAAAGGTCAAACGTGGAAGGGCAGTGTTAAATGTGTGTTTTGTCTAAAAAGTGGAAGAAATAAAAGGAATCATACTCCCAGAAGGGGGCAAGGCCTGTGAAGATGGGGCTCCCTAGGGCTGATGTCTTAGGCTCTTTGGCCTCCAGCCGCTGCTTGCTTAATTGGTGAGGAGTTCTCTCTACATAGCCCGGGAACAAAACCAATTCAGATCTAACAGCCAAATAGCTGTCAACCCAAAGGTGACAGGAGGACTCAGGCTAGAGGGACATGACTTTGGGGCAGAGGCACAGTGATCCCCAACCACTTTGGGGTTGTAGCAGTGGTTCCTTCTCTCCCCTCCTGAACTATGGAGTGCTATAAATAAAACCAGGTGTTAAGTCTCCTACTATGTGCTGAGTGGATAGAGGGATACAGAAACTTAAGATGTAGTTGATGTTTTCATAGAATCTGCAATTGAATCAGGAAGAACAAAGATAGCACCCATGAAACCACTGCAAACATAGGAGGCACCCTACAACTAAGAACTAAGTTATAATGTTATATGTCAATTATACCTCAATTTAAAAGAAAAAAAAAAGGAGCTAAATTAAATAGACCAGGGAGCTTCTCTTCTCTGACTTTCAGAGGAGAGATGTAGGCAGCCTGTAGGACCAAGGTAAAGGTGCTGATTGAAATCTCAGATATATGAAAGTACTAGAATACAACATTTCAAAAATAATATACTTTAAAAATGCAAAATCATGAATCCATAAAAGATTGATACATTTTAATAAAAAAAATGGAAATTTTATGCATGGCAAAAAACTATAAACAAAGCGGAAAAGTCTTTGCAGCACATACTACAAACAAAAGGCTAATCTTCCTAATGTATAAACAACTCCTTCAAATCAATAATAAAAAGACTAAGCAACCCAGTAGACCAATGAGCAAAGGATGTGAACACATAGTTCGTAGAAAAGAAACTATAGTGGCTCTTAGCCTTATAGTGACAAAGATCAAAAAGTTTCATATGCTATCTTAGCAAGAATGCAGGAAAACAGGCTCTCTCATATACTGCTTATAGGTCAAAGTACAAATCTAGCCTCTATGGAAGGCAATTTGGCAATATCTATCAGAATTACAATTTTACATAACTTTGACCCAGCAAACCCACCCCTTGGTACTTATAACACAGTTATACTCACATATGTGAATTGATATGTCTGTACACAAGAAGAGTTATTACTACATTATTTGTTTTAGGGAAAGATTGGAAACCGCCTAAACATCCCTCGTAGGGAACTAGTTAAATACGTTACGATACATCTATATAGTGTTGTTAAGAAGCATGAATCAGCTTTCTTTTGATGTGGAACATATTCAGGGTGTATTATTGAATGAAAAGTTTCCGGAGAGAAACAACAATTTGTAGGGAACAAAGAAGGGAGGGAGACTAACCTTTTATTGTATACCCTTTTGTTCCTTTAGAATTCATTCAAAATGAATTCCTTCATTATATAGTCTTTTGCCCCATTTAAATGCATTCAAAATGTGTCAATTAAAAAAAAAACTTGTATACCTCCAATAGTTCATAGTATTTTTTAGATGTTCAGTAGAGAAAAGGCACAGCAGTTTTAATAAGAGGCCTGCCTGGAGGATACTGAAAGCTGCTTCTCAGCTAATAGACAGTCTTCAGTGATTAAGTCTAAATCGTAACCCCTTCTTGAGAGTGTGAAAACTGTGGGAGGTAGATTTTATTTGTTTGTATTGTTGGTTGATGGAAGAAGAGAGGGGTTTATTGAATTGACTAGAAGAGAAGAAACGGATTCAAGCAGTGGAGGTGGCAGAAACCATGTGCTTCCAGCCTGGGGTTTCTATTCTCGTTACACCAGGAGACGAAGGAACTCTAGGGCCCAGGAGAGGGCAGGAGTAGCCAGTCTCCACCAAGGGAGAAGTTTGCTTCTAAGTTTCTGACACCACTGAAAGAGTTCTCAAGGAGAAAATGACCTAGTGGATGCCTGTTGATGAATGACCTGTGAAAGACCCTTGTGATGTCCTAGAGCCTCAGTGGGAAGGTGACCAAGGCTCCGAAGAGGAGGATCCAGAGCTCTGCTGAGGGAACAGAGGAATCCTGTGTTCCTCAGTGAGAGCTAGGGCTTGTCCTGTCCTCATGACACCTTATTCTAGGTCCTGTTCTCCTAATGTCTGTCTGTAAATGTAGGTCACTTTTGTTTAACCAATGTTCTTTCAAAGAATTGTTTTCTTTGGCTTGGGTAGGAGTTAAGTATGTTAAGGTATGGAAACTTTTATTAAATTTTTTAAATCTTTACTGACTGCATTTGAGAGAAAGGCCTTATTGGGTGATTTAACTTACTCTCACTAAAACTCCTACAGCATTAGGATTGTAGACACTGTGACTGACTGGTGGTCAGATGGATGGATGGATGGACGGATGGATGGATAGATAGATAATGATAGTTTCTTAGTCTAATTCAAACTTCAGTGGCTGCACATACTATTGAGATTTTGTCTTTCAATCATGAATTAAAGCAGGGATCTTTTGGAGCGGGGGGGAGGTTGCTTGGTTTTTTGGTGTGCACTGTGTATGTGGTTGTTTTAGTTGTCATGTCTTTTGATTGCCATATAATTTACATGCCATAAAATTCACCTATTGTAAGTGTGCAATATGATTTTTAGTAAATTTATATAGTTGTGCAACCATCACCATAATCCAGTTTTAAAGCACTTGCATCACCCAAAGGAGTTTCCTCATTCGTGGTGAGTCCCTGCCCTCAGCCCACCACTGGTCTGCTCTCTGTCTCGAGTTTTGCCTTTTCTAGAGATTTCATATAGATGGAATCATATAGTATGTACTCTTGTATGTCTGGACTCTTTTACTCGGCATGATATATTTGGGGTTTATCCGTGTTGTTGCACGTATCGGTAGTGTCTTCCTTTTTACTGCTGAGTGGTGTCCCACTGTGTGAATGGACCACATTTTGCTCATCCATTCACTAGTTGAGGGATATGGGACTGTTTCCAATTTGGAGCTATTGTGAATAATGTTGCTGTGAATATTCTCTTGTGTGTTGTGTTTTGATTTATTTTTGGAGAATTCTGGGGCTAACTCTTGGTGTTCCGTGACACCTTGCAAAGTTCACAAAACAAAGACAGACTTTCTGAAGATTCTTATTATTCCAGCCTACTGAATACCACGCACTTGGACTTGCACTTGCCTTCCTTTCCCAGCAGCTTTGGAGATGCCGAGAAGGAGCAGGCCTGGGCAGCAGGCCTCATTTCCCGCTTATCTGATAGCAACACCATTTGCTGGTTTTGGCTTCCTTCAGATTTTTACATTCCCTATCACTTTTTTTCTTAGTATGTGTAAGGTTAATGCAAAAGGAAAAATAAACTAATGGTAATCAAGCCTTGATAAGCTTGCTTAGGTACTCTATCTTTCTATTCCTCCTCCATGTTTTCTTCAACATTTTTTTTTTTAAGGGTAATATAAAATGCATACTCCCTGTAAAAAAAAAAAAAAAAAAATCACACATAGGAGTTATTGTTTAATGGGTACAAAGTTTCAGTTTTGCAGGATGAAAAGAGCTCTGTAAATGGGTGATGGTGATGGTTGCACGACAGTATGAATATTCTTAACGCCACTGAACTATACACTTAAAAATGGTTAAGATGATAAATTTTGTTATGTGTATTTTACCACAATTAAAAATAATTTTTAAAAATCAAATATAAAGAGGAATCATTAAGAGTAAAGATGGAAAATAGTCCTTTACTATACCTTTCTTCCAAGAGGCAGCCATAGTTAACACCTTGATGACTAACCATTCTTCCAGATTTTTTCACGTACACTTTTAAACACATTTTTTAACAAATTTTCAGAATCTTTTTTCCCCAACATAAATGGAATCATTTATTGGCTCTGTAGCTTGCTTCTTTTTACTTCACTATATATCATGGCCATCTTTTCATATCAGTATATATGTCTGACTCGCTTTTTTTAGCTGCTACAAAATAATCAAAGGAAAGGTTAAACCATAGTTTATCAGGATCCGTGGGTTGCTTGCAATTTTTGCTCTTTCAAAAAATGTGACCATTCTTTTACAAGTATCTTTGATGAGTGCTTGCATTTTTTTTAGAATAGTAACCATAGGGACCGGCCCCGTGGCTTAGCGGTTAAGTGCATGCGCTCCGTTACTGGAGGCCCGGGTTCGGATCCGGGCGGGCACCGACGCACCGCTTCTCTGGCCATGCTGAGGCCACGTCCCACATAAGCAACTAGAAGGCTGTGCAACTATGGCATACAACTATCTACTGGGGCTTTGGGGAAAAAAAAGGAGAAGGATTGGCAACAGATGTTAGCGTAGAGCCTGTCTTTCTCAGCGAAAAGAGGAGGATTAGCATGGATGTTAGCTCAGGGCTGATCTTCCTCACCAAAAAAAAAAAAAAAAGAATAGTAACCATAGACATACTCATCAAGAGGCAAAAAGATACTAAAAGATACCACCAAATTGCCTTCCCACAAACTTCATATGAGAAAGTGCCAGCTTCAGCCCATCCTCACCAACGCCAGACATTATCAATACTTACAATCTGGGTAAATCTGATAGGAAAATAGAAATTACGTTATCTTATTTTAATTTGAATTCTCTGATTATTAGTGAGGTTGAGCATCTTTTCCAATATCTACATGGCTGTTTTGGTTTCTTTAAATTGCCTGTTTATATATTTGCCCCATTTTCTATTGAATTACCTATATTTTTCATATTGATTTATAGGAGCATTTGTGTGTAATGGATATTATCTTTTATATTTATTGTAAATATTTTCTTTCAATTTGTATTTTGTCCTATAAACATACAATCTTTAGGGTATTTTACACCATTAAAAATGTTTAATTTTAGATTATCAAGTCAGTCTTATGCATTGTAACTTTTAGGCTTCCTGTCTTGCTTAGAAAAACCTTCCTCATTCAAAGATTATAAAAAGTTTTCTCTCATATTTACTTCTAATAGTTTTGGATGTTACTTTTAGATTTTTTATAACAGCTTTTGGGGATATAATTCACATACCATACATTTCAACCACTTACTGTACAAGTCCATGATTTTTAGCATGTTCACAGACTTGTGCAACCATCACCTCTGTCTTAATTTCAGATTTTCATCATCCCAACAAGAAACCCATTACCCATTTCCCTCCAACCCTCCCAGCCCTAGGCAACCATCAGTCTACTTTCTGTTTTTATGGATTAACTTATTTTGGACATTTCATATAAATGGAGTTAATACAATAGGTGGTACTTCGTGACTAGTTTCTTTCACTTAGCATAACATTTTTAAGGTTCATCCATATTGTAGCATGTATCAGTATTTCTTTTCTTTTTATTGCAAAATAATGTTCCATTATTTTGTATATACTTTTTTTAAATCCATTCGTCAGTTGATGGACATTTGGGTTGTTTCCACTTTTTGCTATTATGAATAATGCTGCTATGAACATTCATGTACAAGTCAGGGGTTTTTTTCTTTCACTTTTTTTGTGTGTAGTAAGATATACATAACAACATTTACCATTTTAATTATTTGTAGGTCTATAATTCAGGGGCATCAAGTACATTCACAGTGTTGTGAATCATTGGCCATTTCCAAAACTTTTTCGTCATCTGGTACAGAAACTCTGTACCCACTAAACAAAAACCCCTGTCCCCCCTCACCCATCCCCAACCCCTGATAACCACCATTCTACTTCCTGTCTCTATGAATTTGTCTATTCTAGGTACTTCATATAAGGGGAATCATACAATATTTGTCCTTTTGTGTCTGGCTTATTTCACTTAGCATGATGTTTTCAAGGTACATATATGGTGTAGCATGTATCAGAATTTCATTCCTTTTTAAGGCTGAATAATATTCTATTGTATGTATATACTACATTTATTTTGTTCATTCATCTGTTGATGGACATTTAGGTTGTTTCTATCTTTTGGCTATTGTGAATAATGCTGCTATGAACATTGATGTACAAATATCTGAGTCCCTCTTTTCAATTTTTTTCAGTATATACTTACAAGTGGAATTGCTGGATCATAGTCTATGTTTAATTTTTTCAGGAACTGCCAAACTTTTTCCCACGAAAGCTATACCATTTTACATTCCTACCAACAATGAGCAAGGGTTCCAATTTCTCCACATTCTTGCCAACATTTGTTATTATCTGTCTTTTATGTCAGAGCCATCCTAGTGGTTGTGAAGTGATATCTCATTGATACCACTTTGTTTTGTATGTTTAGATTCTTTAATCTATCTGTAATTTATATATTTGGATGATGTAAGATTGTTTTTTGATTTTGGATTTTTGTTTTCCAAATGGCTGGGCGTTTTTTGTTTGTTTTTGTGTGTGTGAGGAAGATCAGCCCTGAGCTAACATCCATGCCAATCCCCCTCTTTTTGCTGAGGAAGACTGGCCCTGAGCTAACATCCATGCCAATCCTCCTCCACTTTATGTGGGACGCCGCCACAGCATGGCCTGAGAAGCGGTGCGTCGGTGCGCACCCGGGATCCGAACCCCGGGCTGCCAGCAGTGGAGGGCACGCACTTAACCACTACACCATGGGGCCGGCCCCTAGGCATTTTTAACACTATTTGTAATGTTGAATTCTTTCTTCCTTTACTGGTATAATGCCATTTTTATTTTATATTAAATTTATATACATGCATAGGTCTATTTCTAGATATTGCTTTATTAATATTTTGTCTATTGCTATACCAACACCACATTATTTTAATTACACAGCTTTTTTTTTTCCCCCTTGAAACTTGTTTGGTCATGGTAATTACACAGCTTTATAATATTTTTTGATGTCTGAGAGGACAAGTGTCTCCCCAACATTGTTCTTTTTCAAAATGTTCTTGGCAATATTTGAACATTATCTCTTCCAGCTCAGCTTGAGAATCAGCTTGTGTAAAGTTCCATGAAAAAAATCCCTATCAGATTCTGGTTAAGATTGCACTGGGTTTGCAGATCAGCTTGGGGGTCCCTTCTCCTTTATAATTCTTGTCACATAAACCATTTCCACTGCCTGTTTTTCCTACCAATAGAAGCGTGATAAAAGAGAGGGAAAATGATGGAAATAAGATGGGTCGGTTTGGCCCCTCAAAGCAGCTCTGAAAAATATTTTGAGAAAGAAAGTTCTAAATTGAGAAGTAAAATGAGCTGGGGCAGTGGAAAGATAGAGGTGTTTCTTTCAGTTACCTGAACTAAAGTTTATTGTATCCAGTTAACAAGAAATGGCCTCAGTTATTCTAGAATTTTTGTATTGTGGAGTGTAAATATGACCTCTCACACACACACACATATACCTGTTTCTTTCTCTAGTACGATGCTGTCCGAATAAACCAACTCTATGAACAAGCCAGGTGGGCCATTCTCTTAGAAGAAATTGACTGCACAGAGGAAGAAATGTTGATCTTTGCAGCACTGCAGGTATGGGAACTTCAGTACTTTTTCTCCGGAAGGAAACAAAGCAAGTTTGTTCTGTTAAAGTTTCATTTGCTTTATACTGTTTTTTTCTTTGAAGAAAGAGCTGAAAATGAGGGGAGTAAATTTAAATTTTAAGAGCTCCTCATAACCCACACACGTGCGCATCTTCTCTAAGGCGTTAGTCTTGCAATCCTTATCTCTTCCTCACTACAAGCTCAACCAGTGATGGAGAAGAACCGAGTCTGAACATGACTAACCATAAATCTCAGAATGATTCAGATCAAAATGTCACTCTCTCTACATAGAAGAGAGATCTCCTTCCAGGAGGTGTTTGGTGTTATGGGGGAATTGTCTTCAAAGAAAAAGAAATGGCGAATGGATTCATTTGTGTTTATAACATTTCTAAAACCTCTGTTTCATTGTAGTATCACATTAGCAAACTGTCATCATCAGCTGAAATACAGGATTTTACAAATGAGTCTGAGGTGGATGAAGTGGAAGCAGCGCTTTCTAATTTGGAAGTGACCCTAGAAGGTGGAAAAGCCGACAACGCTTTGGTATGAACTTTTCTGATAACTCAGATTTGTGCTTTTGTTCTGACTAATTGACAAATGTAAATGAACTTTTTTTTATTAGAATTAAGAGAATATTTTGTCTGATTTTGAAAAAAGAAACCATGTTGCCATCTGACAAGCTTAAACCTAGCAAGAACTGACTAGCTTTTCTCAAGTCAGCCCTGTAAGGGACTGTAGGATATTTTTATTACTACTAATGACAGTTCTTTTGTACTATATTTGTTCTTAGGGATAAGTTGGCATGGTATGAGAGAAAGACTGCTGAGTGCTCCATTTCACTAGCGTGGAACATGCAATTGGTCCCTTAACTTAAGTCTAGAAAGAACCCTCCAGTCTATTGTATAGGGTAGCTGTGAGAAGAGAGAAAATCTTTTACAGATACAAAACCTTATTATCTATTTACCTAGTCATACATTTCAACTGGGCAAGGTTGACAGAAGTGAGGGCCTTTTTCTAGAACGTTGTAAAAAGTTCCTGAATGCTTTTGACTTCAGGAAATGAATAAACAAAAAACCGTCCGGTAAAACGTAAAGAGAACTGTTTTAACATCTCTTGCTTCTTATCCATGAAATGTGGCCAAATGTCATCTTTATAATTAGAATGCCCTTCCTGTTTGGTTCATTTGTCAAGTGCCACCCTTTTGTTTAACTTCTTCGATCATGCGAGTAATTATTAGTTTAATCACATTGAATCAGAGAGATCCATTGTAATTGGATATAAATAGTAATAGATAAAAATGAGTCACTATATTCTTTATTTAATGTATGTTTTCTTGTGATTAAATTCCTTAAAATAAGAAATTGGTATCATGCAAAAGCAAATACCTTATACAAATTAAATACCAAAATTCTGTAGAGATTCAGAGCCCTGTCTCACGTTTATAGGAGACACAAGCCCCATGAAATTGAAGTTCCCTTTTGTCTACTTCTTCTGCCAAATCGATACAACAGAAAAGTGACCCTTCTTAGAATAAATGAAAAATCTCCTCCTCCTTCCCTCAATATTTTTGTGTGGTGCCAAACTGTAGGCTTTTCAGTTTGAAAATAGGCACCAACCTGCACTGCAGAATGAACCTTGAACCAGATTCCTTTTGAGAGCTTAATCAGTGAAGTAGATGTAGCTAGAAGTTACTCACTCGATGTAAAGATTGTAAAATATTTTGTTTATACGTAAAAGTAGTAGTTTCTAACTCAAAATTTTAATTTGAATGGTAGCGCTTCGTCAGTTTTTTTAATCTCTTATTTTCATTTGTGTGATATATGACACATATAGGGAAGTGAAAAAAATGTATTAAATTATCACCCAAGTCGCCACCCAAATCAAGAAACAGAACTTTGCCAACCACCCCAGCAGCTCCTGAATGTGCCCCATCCCCCTCCCACCCCTTCCCCGCACCACCCCCTAAGCTATCTACTAGAAATATGGCTAGTGTGACTGAGGAGCCGAGCTTTAATTTTAATTCATCCAATTTAAATAGCTACGGGTGGCAATTGGCTACAGTATTGGACAGTGCAGCACCTCCTGTCTAATTATGGCTTATGAAATGTTATCTGTTTTTCCTTAGGAGGACATTACTGATATCCCTAAACTTGCAGATAATCTCAAATTATTTAGGTAAGTCACTCTTAAAGGGGAAAGAGAGTAGTCATAACAAGCCTTTCAGGTAAAAAGTCAGGAGTTTAAATTGCACATCCATTAGGCAGGTTCATGGTTCAGAGGTAGGAGCACGAGTTTTGGCATCACACAGACAATGGGTTGAATCCTTTCTCCACAGCACGTACTAGCCGAGTGACCTCGGGCATTGTCCTTATGTCTCTGAGCCTCAGTTTGCTGATCTATAAAATTGGGGATATACCTCCTCTTGGGTTTGTTGAGAGAATTAAATAAAATAATGCCTATGGAGCATTGAGCATGGTGCCTGGCATATAGTACATGCTCCGTAAATGGTGGTGTAGACGTGGCTGGTGTCACCAGGAATGAACGTATATGCCAGGCTGGAGTTTCTATTAGGGAGGCTGTCCTGGGAGGCTCAGGACACTGACACCACTCAAAGGCTCTTTCACAGCTGAAAAATCAGTTGTCTCTAGCGCTTATACAGAGTAGTCACCTTAGTTATCTTCCTTTGCCTGTTAAACTATTTCTAATAAACTCCCCAGTCACCTCAGGTCAACCTGAAACTATTAAAAAGGCAGAGAAGTTTTTTATTTCATGGAAAGAAAGGACTGCCACTTTTGTGATGGTTCCAAGGTGTGTTAGGATGAAAGGAATAAGGTCCCTTTGAAGTTCTATCACTTATGTCACTTTATGGTTTGTTGACTTTTCTTAACAAACACTGCACTCGGTCAGTTGGCTTGAAAAGAAACATTAGTTCCTTTTGTTAATACATGATGCAAAGAATCAAGAATGAACAATGAATCGGGTATAAATGAGAAACAAGCAGCCAAAAGTAATAATATTTGTCACTCAGTTTCTACAGGGTTTTTTTTTTAATGTGATTGTAGCATGTGGTCTCAAACAATAGGGTCATTAATTTAACTTCTGTGGCATAAATACTTGCCACCACACTATGACTATTGTTATAGTCAGAGCTACAGAAAAAAAGTAATAATTTGAACCCACAAATACGTTTTCATAAATTATTAATAATTGTTCTACAAAGAAATTAGGTTGCTGTATTCTCTGTATAGAGCAAATTGAGCTCTTCACAAACCAAATGATGACAATTCCCTTCCTATAGATGTTTTTGATGAAGGAGATGATATTCTGGAGTTAAGCCTCACGTGCACGTCACTTTAGTGTAACTGGTTTACTAAAACTCACAAAATTGTCCTCATATTGGCCCGTGGACACTTTATCTACCAAAGGTCTCAAGACATTGAATTTAATATATATATTTCATGGAGGAAAGAAATGAAGGAGAGAGGTGAGGGAGGAGAAAGCAAAGAAAAAAGGAGAAGGGAAGGGAGGCAGGAGATTGGAGAATGGAGCTCTGTTCCTAGTGGGTGTGTAACCATTAAAGCCCCTTCGTTTCCCTGGCCGCCTTTTTTTTTATGAATAGAAGAGCATTGAACTAGCCCTTGGATTTTTTATGTTTTTGTTTTCTTTAACAGTGAAGCTCTTTTTTTGCTTAAACAAAATCTATTGAAGCCACTGTATAAATAGTGGGCTTCAGTTTCCAGCAACATGGTATCTAATGCAAATCCCAGTCTTGCTATAAATACATATGAGTGCTGGATAAAATAAAAATAAAAGAATTGTAAATACAAGTTGATCTCGAAGTGAGACCAGGAAAGTGCAATTTGCAGGAAATAGAGAGGGAGCCTAGGGGCCGGCCCCGTGGCATAGCAGTTAAGTGTGCGTGCTCCGCTGCTGGCGGCCCGGGTTTGGATCCCGGGTGTGCACTGATGCACCACTTGTCAGGCCATGCTATGGCAGTGTCCCACATAAAGTGGAGGAAGATAGGCACGGATGTTAGCTTAGGGCCAGTCTTCCTCAGCAAAAAAAGAGGAGGATTGGCCTGGATATTAGCTCAGGGCTGATCTTCCTCACAAAAAAAAAAAAAAAGAAGGAACCTAGTTCTACAAATGAAGCCTCAGCTGCACTGAGGGATTTGGGCGATGGATGTAGATTCTCATGGCTTGGAGCTGAGATTTTAATGCCTGTGTAGGGATCAGAGGTGAAACTTTAAGGTGGGGTGTGCTTCATGTAAGGCAGTGAACCAGGACTGAAGCCCCTGCCTAAAGGTGAAAACTTGCAAGGGCTGCCTTCTCTGTTTAACAGGGAGTAGGAAAACTACCCATCAGCCAAAGGAAGCAGTAAGGTAGTTCATCCCCGCATGGGGTTCTGTGTGGAGAAATGAAAAGTCTCTTGAGAAATCAGAGCCAAGGTCTGTACCACACACAGATGTAGATCTAAATTTAAATGTCTTATAAGAGAATCCTGAAAAGATAAGAGAGAAACTGGTCCAAGACCACAAAATCTATGAAGGCCCAGCAAATGTAATTGCAAAAATACTTGGAGGGCAGTATCTACCATCTAGCACGTATGGGCCTTCTACAGAAAACAGTACCCCCTAAAAAAAACCAAAACTCCCAATAAAAATTGCTAGCCATTTGAGTTAATGAATCATCATAAAGGAAAAACAGCAGACCCAACAAACAAGATTAGCAGTTTCAATAATTTTAGGTAACAGAACAATCTGAAGAAACCATAAAATGAGTATGTTTAGAATCATTAAGTAAATTAAAAGGTAAACATTATAATGAAAGAAAACAGGCAATATGGAAAAGGAACCACATAGAAATTCTAGAAATGAAAAATATAGTCATAGAAATTTAAAATTGAATAGGTGCATTAAATATTGTTTAAAACCACAGTTGGAGAACTCCGAAAGGTAGAAATGGAAAATATGATGTAGATAGAATGAGAAAGTTCAACATATGTCTACTAGGAGTTGCAGAAGAAAATATGGGAGAGAAGCAAGCATTCAAAAGAGAATGCTTGAGAATTTTCCATAATCGTTGAAGACAAAAATCCTTAAATTCAGGAATCACAAATCCCAACAAAATAAATCAGTACAAATGGATGTCTTGATACAGCCAACCATTGGTAAGAAGAGAGTCTTTAAAATTGGAGGGAAAAGACAGATTTCCTACAAAAAGAAAACACTTAGGTGGGCAGAAGACTTCTCGTTGGCTGGAAAATATCTTGAAAGTGCTAAGAGAAGATAACATTCTAGACTTTTTTGCCCAACCAATCTTTCAAGATTCTACTTATTGCAAACCTCTGAATATAAACCAGACAAAATACAATCATACTAGTAAATTACATATTTAATAAAAGCAATGGTTTATGCCCAAACTATAAGGTGTAACCACTGTTAAAAAGACTATTTTGTAATAAGTGAAATGGCTCCACAACAGCATTTTAGAGAGAGGCCACACATAAAATTCATTTGTTGCACCGTTAGGCCGGTAGGCATTACTGTAGCAAAGAAGTTCCATTCAGACGTATACAATGTGCGGCAGGAAATGATCAGTGAGATTCATTTTGTAAACGCAAGACTCTTAAAATATAGTAGAATATTTACAATACTTTTAAAGAGATGGAGAGTGACTGTGAAAATCTTTGGTCTCACATTAGGGCTCAGTGGTTATCACATGGAAAAGTACCTAGAGTTATACATTTTTGTTTTTTCAAAAAATGTGTTCCAAATTTATGACCTTGAATAATAGGCCTCCAGTGCTTTCAAGATAATAAACGCACATAATCTTAAAGAGAGCATTTTGAAAACAGTTATTGGAAATGTTTTCATTGTCATAATAATAATGATATAATAATAATATAACATAATGAAACTGCCTATTAAAACAATATTATCTGCACACCGTCCATACTTGGAAACAGAATTTTTCTGTGTTAAACATCATCCACATTGAGTTATAGTGTGTTTTAAACCCACTTATTAAAAATATAAAAATGCAACATATTCTGATTAATTTGCATAAGTGAGTGACATCAGGGAAGATGGAAATTAGTAGCTTTGTTTCAACAAAAACCTTCACAAACAAGTAGATGGCATTAAACTGAATGTTACTTCTTCAACTGGGATTTATGTAACTGAGTAATAACCTCCTTTCTTAAAACAAACTGAACTTCTCATGTTCATTCGTTTTTAATTTATATGTTTGTGTAGGTTTATAGTGTATATATTGCAATATGTTACAAATACACAAATATTACAAATGAACCATTGTAAATGTGTTAGGGACTGGGTGCTCAAAATATTTTAAAGATGAATGTGCCCAGTTTTAGTTTGGAGATTACTGGTCTAGACTAGTATTTCTCAAACTCCGGGGAACCACCTTAGGAAAGCTTATTTAAAGTGCAGATGCCTAGGCCCTAACCTGCACCTGCTGAATCTGAATCTTTGGGACTGGGGCAATGTCTAGGTATCTCTAACAAGCTCCCTTCCAGTTCTGATGAATACCAGAGTTTGAGAACTATTCCTCTAGAAAGTAAAGTCCAACTCCTTAGCAGGACATTCAAAGTCCCACCCTGGCCCCAACCTACCTTGCTGTTCTTGTCTCCATCATCGCCCACACATGGAAATGCTGTAGCCACAGAAACTACCCCTCTCTCCCATTTCCGTTGCTCGGCACAGTGCCCATGATCAGGTAGGTGTTCAAGAGATGTTTGACCCAACTCGTATCACCAAGGTGCTCGGCTCTGACTCACCTCTGCATATTGCGTGTGCAGTTGCTGCCTTCTAAATTTCTTTTTCCTGTTCCTCCAATCAAATTCTTATTCATCCTTCATTCTATGTTTAAATGCTATGTCCTCTGTAACTCACCACCCCCGCATCCTTGTTGTATGACTTACCATATTGTATTGTATTTATTTGTTTTGTGCATTTCCTTCTTTAAGCTATGAGCTCCATGAGGATTTGTGAGAATGTCTCATTCATATGTACATCATTCCCCACCCAGCCACTATCTCCATTTCTCCTTCCCCCTACCCTGCCCTGCCCCAGCCTCTGGAACACAGAATAGGAGCAATAATCATTAGCTTTGGGAATGTATGGAATCAGCCTAGAAGATGAACCAAACTGGAAGAGGATAGTAGAGGGAATATGAGAACTTTTAATACTCTTAAAGTCCAATTAAAATGGAGAAACAGGATTTCATTCTTAATTCTGAATAGAAATTTAGCTGCCTAGGACCAACTGAGACCTTACTATCTTTTGGTTATATGCTGTCTTTAGATTCTATTTTGAAAATACTATTAATTTTGGAGAATTTGATTCTTAGACAAACAATCTTTTAAATATGTTTTTTAGAATTATATTAACTACAACTATAACATGATAAATACTATTTTGATGCAGTGGTTTTCTAAATCCTGGAAATGTTAACTCCATATAAGGTTTTTCTTTTTTTTTTTTTTTCCTGAGGAAGATCAGCCCTGTGCTGACATCTGCCAATCCTCCTCTTTTTTCTGAGGAAGACTGGCCCTGGGCTAACATCCGTGCCCATCTTCCTCCACTTTATATGTGACGCCGCCACAGCATGGCTTGCCAAGCAGTGCGTTGGTGCACACCCGGGATCCGAACCGGCAAACCCCGGGCTGCCGCAGCAGAGTGCACGGACTTAACCGCTTGTACCACTGGGCCGGCCCCATATAATGTTTTTCAATTTTATTTTATAATTTTTTTGTAATATGCTCCTGTAATACACTGGTTTTTTAGTGAACATCTTCTCCCTTATCCTTGTGTTAAGGATAACATGTTTTTAGCTAAGGAAAGACTAGTAGTAACATGGTAAAAGACTTGTGCAAATTATATATGAGTGGTAGTAACACCAAGCTTCCTCTCTTCTCCCCTTCTTGAAGGCAGAAATCCACTCATCTGGTGTGAGATACCCTGATCAACCCCCAAAGCCAGGATTGTTCCATTAAACCACATACAATTCATGTTATCTTTTGTTTGCCCATCTGTACTCCCTTCCTATTCCCCAGTTCTCTCTCACGTTTTCTATTTTGAATGATGCAACTGAATCCTGCCATTGGCACCACCGGCCTTGTCTAGCCCAGAGTACAAAGTTTTCTGGCCCCAACAGATGTCGCTGTTGGAGATCTTCCCCCAAAATATTTTTTAATAACAGTAGAGTCTACATAGATTAGCCGTAGATTTTGGTGATTTCCGTGGCTCACTGGGAATCCTCTAGTGGTTTCTCCTAACGGTCAAGAGGAAACTACAGAAAAGGTTGCTCACTTTTATGTCTGATTTTTATGTCGGATAACTTGACGGTTGTGCTGTCCATATGGGCAGCTTTTTCAGATGCAAGAAGTATACTGCAATTTCACATGTCGCCAGATTCGTGGGTGTCTCTCACATACATAATAATTTGTTGAACACTTCCATTCTGCCAAGCAGAGTGATACCCCTTTACAAAGATTAGCTTTTTCCATCCTCATAAAGCCCTGTGAGTTGGAGGCTGCTACTCTCCCCATCACACAGAGACAGTACACGTGGCCCGGGCAGATGAAGAGTCTTTCCCAGGGTCACACGCGTAGCAGTTACAGAGCCAGAGAGTGGCCCCGGCTTGTCTAACTCCTGAAATTTCACAGTAACTTCTACATCTCATATCAAAATCCCATTTTCAGTTTTTAGAAATGAGTTAGCAATTTGAAAATTATTTTTAAAAATAAAGACTATGTTGTTTGACAGGGTCTCTAAGAGCTTCTTGATCCGCTTGAAATTTTTGATGTCCTACATTTCTGGATGGTTGTGTCAACGCTTACTGTACCTTAATTTGCAGGCCCAAGAAGCTAGTATTGAAAGCTTTCAAACAATATTGGTTCGTCTTTAAAGATACGTCTATAGCCTACTTTAAAAATAAGGAACTCGAACAAGGAGAACCAGTGGAAAAACTTAATCTTAGAGGTAAGAGGGTCCTACATCTTGGTATGGCTTGTCATGACCCAGGAAGCAGATGGAAGCCAAGACTCCTACCCAAAGAAGCAAGGTTTACTTCCAGAGGAACCTCTGTATGTCACTGGTGTCAAAACAGCAGCCAGCCTGCGGCTCCTCTTCCCCGTGGAGCATGGACCTGAAATGTGGTCTAGTAAATGTGGTTATTTGCAATCTACAGGCCTTTCTTTCCCAGTGCTTCTAAGTCTATGAAGTGATGGTAACTGGTGTCCTAAGTGTAGTATGTGAGGCATTGTAGGATCCTGAAAAGCTTTCTGAATTCCGGAACAATTATGTTTAATTCGGTGTCACTTTAGTGCCTATTCTAATTTCTGCAAGTGGCTGTGAGTATGCTGGTAACTCCATTAACTGAAATATTTAATTAACCGGTGCACTCAATTCCCTTATCATTGTGACAATCAGAGAATTCCCTCTGCTTTGATTTGTTTAAAAGTTCATATTCATAATCGTTCCTCAGAGTTAGAATAGCCAAATCAATCTGAAAAATGAATTCAGTTGATGATATATGAAAATCATAAAAGAAAATATTTTTCTTTATCCATGTTAATTCTCATAAGTTTTATTTAGTTATCCTTTAATTAATGTTATCAACTTGCTCCTCAATTTTTCAGAAGAGAATCGAACCTGAGGGGCTTATGTTTAAAGTCTTTGTTTTAGACACACATCTGATATTTATACAACAGATTTCTCAGAACTCAGTTTTGTCCCTGCCTTTTATCATTCAGGCTGTGAAGTTGTGCCAGATGTAAATGTAGCAGGGAGAAAATTTGGAATCAAGTTACTAATCCCTGTTGCTGATGGTATGAATGAAGTGTATCTGAGATGTGACCATGTAAGTAAAACCACAAAAATGTTAAGTCACTTCACCTTTATTAAGCCTAAGGGCAAACCATCTGAGGTGTTTTCTCAAATCAGAACACTCATCAGTCAGCTACTGCTTTGTAACAAACAACCACAAAATCATAATGACATATACCAATAAACATTTGTTTCTGAAACATCTGCAGGCAAGCTGGGGGTGGGATGATCCAGGCTGGTGTCAGCTGGGCAGATCTGCTTTGAGCTGTAGATCTGTCTAGGCTTGGCTCTGTGCTTCAGGTTAAGTTCATTGTATTTATTCTGGGACCTCGACTGCCTGGAAAGGGTCTTCTCATAGTGATGGCAGAAGCTCGAGAGGGGAACTGGAAACACAAGTCCTCCTAAAGCTTGGGCTCACAATTGGTACACTGTCATTTCCACCCACATTCCATTGCCCGAAGAGAGTCCATGGCTGTCCCCAAAGTCAAGAGGTGGGAAATTACACTCTGGCTCTGGTGGGAGGGACTGTAAAATTTACATGGCAAGGGTGTGGACACCAGGAGGGTGAAGATCGAGGCCAGTAATTCAATATACCTCACCTGCTGTTGCTGTGAACAGTGCCACCCTTCAACTGCATCCCCACGGTTTCTAGGACCACTCCTGTTCACTCTCTGAGGTAGAAAATGAGCACAGACTTTAAAGAACAATGGAAGCCACCGCAAATTGGTTCAGATCCCATCAGTGGACTTGAGTCCTACCATGGGATAGGCCAGGGTAGAAATAATGTGGGAAATCAGTTAATGATTTTTTTCTCATTTTCTTCTGCCAGAGAGATCAGACATGATATGAAGATGGAAATATATATCAAGGAAGGCTGTCGGGTGGTTTGGGTTTTCACCTGTCTGTGTTCCTTGGAGCTCCTTTGTGTCCCTGGTTCATCTTTTTTTTTTTTTTTTTTTTTTTGTGAGGAGATCAGCCCTGTGCTAACATCTGCTAATCTTCCTCTTTTTTTTTTTTTTTTTTTTTGCTGAGGAAGACTGGCCCTGGGCTAACATCCATGCCCATCTTCCTCCAATTTATATGGGACACCACCACAGCATGGCTTGACAAGCAGTGCGTTGGTGCACACCCAGGATCCGAACTGGCGAACCCTGGGCTGCCGCAGCAGAGCACACGCACTTAACCGCTTGTGCCACCAGGCCTGCCCCCCTGGTTCATCTTTAAAGGCAAAGTTCCCTCCATGGAATTTATCAAAGCTGACATTCCTATGCTCTGGCCCCGTAGCATCTAGAAACTCAACACAGGACTCAAAAGCTTTTGTTGGGTATTAAATTAGGTGATTGACAGCCCCCAGAATGTGTGCCGCTTCACATCTTTCCTTGCTTGGGAGGTGAAGGTTTTATATTATGAAGGTGAAAGCCCAAGTCCTGCTCTGTTCCCGGCAGGGTGGCTCTGCACTTGAACTTGTTTCTCAGCCCTCTGACGTTTGCTGCAGGAGAATCAATATGCCCAGTGGATGGCTGCTTGCGCCTTGGCATCGAAGGGCAAAACCATGGCGGACAGCTCTTACCAGCCAGAGGTCCTCAACATCCTTTCCTTTCTGAGGATGAAAAACCGGAACTCAGCATCTCCGGTGGCTTCCGGTCTGGAAAACATGGACATGAATCCGGAATGTTTTGTGTCACCTCGGTGTGCAAAAAAACACAAGTCAAAACAGGTACTACTAATATTGTTGGGACAAGATTATTTGCAGTGAATTCTGTATTTTCTGAAATAAAATGAGGAATTAAAATGATTGAGGCCGTCATCATGAAAAATCATCTGATGGGGGAATTTGACTGTGGACTGGGTATTAGACAATATTAAGAAATTGTTAGTTTTGTTAGAGGTGACTGTACTGCTAACTGAACATGTCGATATTCCCAGATTTAATTTAATTAAAAATAAAATGTCTTGGGGCTGGCCTGGTGGCCTAGTGGTTAACTTCAGCACGCTCCACTTCAGTGGCCTGGGTTCACTTCCCGGGCACAGACCTACACCACTCATCAGTGGCCATGCTGTGGTGGTGACCCACGTACAAAATAGAGATAGGCAACAGATGTGAGCTCAGAGCAAATCTTCCTCAAGCAAAAAAAGGAAGATTGGCAACAGATGTTAGCTCAAGGTGAATCTTCCTCAGCATAAAAATAAAATTTTTTAGTTCCCACAAATTAAAATTTTTAATTATGGTTCCATAAAAGTGGGTTAAAAGTTACACAGATGAACTGAATCAAGTACAACCATTGTCAGTGGACACTCCACAGACCCCAGAAAGAGGGACCCAGAACTCTCCATCTGCATGAACCTTAGAAGCTTATGTTTTAGCCAGTCTGGTTCCTTCTTCTCTCCAGGGATTTACACGTCTTATAGAAAAAGAGAGGGGCAGAGAATGAATGAATGAATGAATGAATGAATGAATGAATGAGAAAGAAGTTTCTTTGTGGAGCTGCATTTGAGCCTTGCATTTGTTTTTCTCCTTGGGGATCTGAGCTAATGGGATGGTCATAGAACAGTCAGCACATGCTAAGGAAAGTTTGTTGTCTCCTGCTTCTGCTTAGCTGGCAGCCCGGATTCTGGAAGCCCACCAGAACGTGGCCCAGATGCCCCTGGTCGAAGCCAAGCTGCGGTTCATCCAGGCGTGGCAGTCTCTACCTGAATTCGGCCTCACTTACTACCTTGTCAGGTAATCACAGTGTTCACTTGCCTCTCTCACTTTCTATTCCATTAAAAGGACCTTTCTTGAAGCCCAGTATATTCTCATTTAGTCCAGGACACAGAACTCTTTTTATTTTAGAATACCGTCCTTTCACAAATGACTCAGCCACGTTTGGCTGCTCATAACCGTCTTTCTTCTGTTCAGAGTGCTTACCTGGTCTCCCTGCTTCTTCTCTTGTCCCCCTGAGTTTTCAGCTTAACAGCCAGAGTAATCCTTTTAAGATCGACATCAAACCATGTCAGGCCTCTGCTCAAAACCATCAGAAGGCATTCCGTCTCACTCAGAGTAAAAGCCAAATTCTTGCAATGGCCCTACAAGACCTCTTCTCTGGAATTTCACATCCTCTCCCCTCCTTCACTGTGCCCGGCACACTGGCCTCCTGGCAGATCCTTAAGCATGCAAAAAACAAAAATGCCCTGGCCTTTGCACTGGCTATGCCCTCTGCCTGCTGTCGTCTTTCCACAGATATCCATGTGGCTCACTCACTCATGGATGTCAGTCCTTTGATCAAATGTCTCTTCTCATTGAGATCTTCCTTGCCTCCCCGTTTAAAATCATAACCACCTCATTGCCAGTATTCTCTGTCCCATTTTTGTGCTTTATTTTTCTTCTTGATCTTATCTGGCATGTATATTTCACTTATTCATGACTCTCTCCCCCCACTAGAACACAAGCTCCGTGCAGTCAGGAATTTTCTATGTGTTTAGGTCACTACTGTGTTCCCAGTGCCTAGAAGGGTGCCTGGCATACACCGTCAGTGCTAATTTTGAATTGACTTAACCTCCTCTTATTTTGCTTTTCTCTGATGTCAGTTTCACTTAAAGAATGTCTGCAGAACAGCTTTAATTCTCCCCATTCTTCATATTCTCTATAGCACAATAAAAATACCCTTCTGTAGCAAGTTACTCCCTCATTGTCCATTCTTCAGAAATGATTTAGAAATGTTGGTATTAGATTGAAGAAGTTGTATATGAATGACCATCATATTACAGAAAGCTGTTGCTTCTTTTAATTAATTTTTTTTTTCAGATTTAAAGGAAGCAAAAAAGATGACATTCTGGGAGTTTCCTACAATAGGTTGATTAAAATCGATGCAGCCACTGGGATTCCACTTACAACATGGAGATTCACAAATATGAAACAGTGGAACGTAAATTGGGAAATCCGGCAGGTAAAGTGAAAGTTTTTGGTATATTCAGGTTGAGCCTGTAAATGTGTGTTCCCTCAGAATTACAGATTATTCTGATTTTAAAAGGGTGTTCTTGGGCCGGCCCCGTGGCTTAGCGGTTAAGTGCGCATGCTTTGCTGCTGGCGGCCCAGGTTCGGATCCCGGGCGTGCACCGACGCACCGCTTCTCCGGCCATGCTGAGGCCGCATCCCACGTGCAGCAACTAGAAGGATGTGCATCTATGACATACAACTATCTACTGGGGCTTTGGGGGAAAACAATTAAAAAATAAAAAATAAAAAAATAAAAAAAGGGTGTTCTTATATTTAGAATTCAGAAAGCATAAGCTCATGGTAATTGTCTGCTAAAATAATCACATGCAATTCTGGGCAGTTTCCTAACAAGTATAGGCCAAATGCTTAGTCTGCATGCAGACTTTTCATACAGACAGACTCTAAAATTGCTGAGTAGTTTAATTTCCTTCAACTCAGCATAGGATTATATAAAATGTAGGCTGATAATTACTTAGCAGAAGCTACCTGAGATGTAACTGTCATGCAAAATAAATACAAAAAAGGCCTCATCTGACTGACTGCCATGAGGTCTAACTGGTTGAGGACTCAGAGGCTCAATTATCTACCTGGAGAGCATTCCAGTCCCGAAAGGGGAAAACTTCTAGAGAAGCAAGTGAGGTGCATGGGGAAGACTGAGAAGAGCTTAGCCTCTTGAGTTTAGGAGCCCTCGAGCCCTCAGCCTCCCATCATCTCAACGCTAGGAACTAAGTTCAGGCCAAACCTGTATCATGGGAAATTCTAGATGAAGTTAGAGGCGCCTTAGCATCCTGATGATTTAAAACAGTCTGCTGTTGCTGATATAGAGTCTCTTTTCCCCCATTCCTTTGGCATTCTCATTTTTCCAGTAGGAAAGCCGTCAACACAGAGGGATGGTAAGAGACTCACACTTTTTTTTTAAAAGAAACATAGATTCCTCTCATTGGGCTGTTAACCATCTGGGCACTCATTTGTAGAATGAAGGTCTGAGATTAGATGACTTCTAAGGCAGTGGCTCTAAACCCTTGTTGCATATTAGGACCACCTGGGGAGCTTTACAATGCCACTGCCCAGGTCACACCTAACACCAGTTAAATCCGAATCTCGGAGTGGGAGCTGGGCATCAGGATAATTTTTAAAGATCCACTGGTGATTCCACTGGGCAGCCAAGGTTGAGAACCAGTGAAGTCTCAGTTTCTTCTAGTGCTTAGAGTTTATGACTTTCAGCTGGGAAGGGGTGCGAGGCAGTAAGTGTAGGAAAATTCAGGTGGGCCTTTTAGTCTGCATTTAAAAATTCTGCAAAGCACCCTGCCCAGTGACAAAGGGAGTGCTTGAAAAGTTCTTATATCTAGATAAGAGACAGACAGAAAATCTCTGTTAGGAGTTAGGATGTATTGACACCACAAGAGGGCGCAAAGGGAACAAAGACACGTTTTCTATAAGCGTTTAACAGAAGTGGTGGTTTTTTGTGGATTTTTTCTGAGAAATCCATCTATAAGCCACCTCAGCAGTCCTCAGCTCTGGGGCCCTCGCCAGCAAAGCAACTTCTTTCTCCTCTTTCCTTGTCGGAGTTGAAGCTTATCTGTGCCTTCCTCTTCCAGGTGGCGATCGAGTTTGACCAGAATGTCTCCATTGCGTTCACCTGCCTGAGTGCGGATTGCAAGATCGTGCATGAGTACATCGGTGGCTACATTTTCTTGTCCACTCGCTCCAAGGACCAGAATGAAACGCTCGACGAGGACCTGTTCCACAAGTTGACTGGCGGTCAGGAGTGAAGCAAAGCAGGCCTGCTGGGCCTACACACAAAGGGCGAGGCAGAGGTGGTCCTCCCTGCAAGATGGGATCCGTGGCTTGCACAGTGTGTAGATTCCAGACTCACAGACAACGTATATTCACCACCAGTCACCGAGATCCTCGCCTCATATCAAACACTGCCTAGCACATCCCTTTCCTTACTTTGCTCTGTGCTATCAGCAGTGGAAGGGGCCTCAGTTGCCTTTTCTGTAAAATGGGTAGGTGGGAAAGAGGACAGTGCTCTAAGATTGCTCTAAGGCCCAGCATGTAGCTACAGTTCTGTGACTTGTAGAACCTGCCCGTTGCATGGTTAGAAGTTGTCCGTGTACTTATCTGCTTTGTTGCTAAGTCTGCGGAGAAGACAGAAAGGTTAAAAGCACATATAGCAAGGACACCTCTTATGCCACAAACTCAGGTATGAAAAAAAAGTATGTCTTTCCTTAACAGAACTGCTTTTAGCTCCTATCTTGTGAAAATGGTAGGAGTCCACACATACACTTTTTCCCTGGAGGTCGAGGTCTGGGGATGGTACCAGTTGGTGACAAGGGGTCAGAGCAGTGGCCCTCAATGTCATCAGTCCACAGTGACATCTACCGAGGTGACCACTGACCCATCTGGTCTTGGACATTGGTCCCCTCAGGTTACTGCGACCACCTGCAAGTCGCATTCCATTCCTGGGGATCCCTCAGCCACCTTGAAGTCCTTCTTGATGACATGGGTGACACAGAGGTACAGGGAAACCCATTCCTCAACTCAATTCCATGTCTGCACTGCTTCTACTCTGGGTTGGGGCTCAGGAAGATGGGCACAGTTCTCTCTGTTCATAAAAACCACCTTCCAAGATTGAGGCTTCCAGAGATGTCTCTATCCCAACTGGTCAGGAAGAGGAGGGCAGGCCCGTTCTCAAAGACCACCATGTTCAAGGTCCCGTGGCTTCCCCACTGGCATCTGTCTACAGGGCTTTTGGCTGGTCTAGGGGGTGGGAAAGCCTTGCCCTTATCATTCATCAGTATTCTGGATTTGGTGTCCTTTAGGGGAAAAGCCTTTCTTTGGCTTTTGTAAATCAACAGCCTATAATGGACTTTTTTTTTTTCTCTGCTTTGACACATGAGCATGGGCCAATTAACAGCTGCCTCAATTATTTTCTGTTTTGGTTTGTCAGCAATGGGAGGAGTGGGTTTTGAGAAGATAAGCAATACTAGGGGTAGAGGGAAATATCAGAGTATTTTATTATGTTATTATAAATATTCTTCTGTCACCCAAAGGACTGAGTTGCAAGGGTAAGGCAGAGGCTCCGTTTCCATTTTGAAGTTCCTTTAGGATGAGAATCTCAGGGGGCCTGGCCAGAGTCCAGATGCTCCAAAACATTAGCTGTTGCTTTATATTCCAACAAAGCCAATTGAGAAGAGAGATCTCGGCAAATTCCAGGAGCCTCATGGAGACAGAGTTGGCTAGGGAGCCCCATGCCCTGAGCCAGAAGTTGTCTCTGGAAATTCCTCTTTCAGCCTCTCCTTAGAGGTGAATGTTAATGAAGACTCCCCAGGCACTAGCTGAACTTCCGAGGCCTAGCTTAAAGCTCAGAGGCAGCACTTGGATAATCTGATCTATATCATAAAGAGCTTAATTTGAAATGTTTTATATAGAAACTAGTGCAGAGCATACTGTTTTAAACATGGTGCTGGTCATTTTTCAATAGCACTGGGCTCCATTATTTTAGAACCTAGTCAGGTCTTTAAGATTACATTGGGTCCTACATTATAAAATAATGCTCCTTGATGTCTCATTTGACCTGTCTGCTGCCAAGTGCAGCTCTGCATAATTTACCAAAGCTAGACCTTCAGTGCAACCCTCTTTCTCAGCATTTCATGGTTGTCTGACATTTCCATGAAAACGCTCAAAGGAGCTGACTGGTTTTAACCAAATTTCAGGGGAACATTTCTCCCACGACTACATAGCCACATCCCAAAGGAGTAAAGTGTGACAAGAAAACCTTAAATGCTGCTATTCCAAAGAGCAACTTAAGGACTTTTTTTTTTTTTTTTTTTACATTGGGTACAAAAACCTTCCGACTTCCTGTGATGGAAGTGTGTGTGTGTGTATGTGTGTGTGTGTGTGTGTGTGTGTGAGTGAGAGAGAGAGAGAAAGATCAGCCCTGAGCTAACATCCGTGCTAATCTTCCTCTTTTTTTGCTGAGGAAGACCGGCTCTGAGCTAACATCTATCGTCAATCCTCCTCCTTTTTTTTCCCCCAAAGCCCCAGTAGATAGTTGTATGTCATAGTTACAGATCCTTCTAGTTGCTGTATGTGGGACGTGGCCTCAGCGTGGCCAGACAAGTGGTGCGTCGGTGCGCGCCCAGGATCCGAACCCCGGGCCGCCAGTAGCGGAGCGCACGCACTGAACCACTAAGCCACGGGGCCAGCCCTGGAATTTTAAATTAATACGTGCCTTTCAACTTTGTTTGCTTACTTATCTATACTAGATGGGGAAATCGCCATTTGTTATTTTATATGACTTTTTTAATTAAAAGGTTTATATGGATTTGAGTACCGTCTAGTTGTATCCTCTCCAGTCAGCTGTGTTTAAAAAGGTGACCATTTTCTCCATTGTCAAAAAAGAGTGCAACTTTCAGGTTTAACATGTACTTCTCATGATTCCAAGATTCCAGTTCATTCTCCCCACTGGTGCGCAGAGTGGCTGATCACATGGGGCCTTAGAAACGTCAGAAATCGGCTTAGAACCCTCACTTAACTGTTGGTTTCTACCTTTTGGAAGAAGCACCCGAGAGTAAAGAAATATCCAGAGGCAGAGGAGCAGCAGAGGGCATCCCATTTGATGGCCAAATGTCAAGGGCATTTCTTTGATTTAGTGATAAATGGTCCATAACAGGTAGTGTTACCTGCAGTTTAGATATCCCTTCATGTAATTCTCACATCAACCTATAGGGGACAGGAACAGCTTGCTTTCTCTTTTAACAAAGAAGAAAACAGGCTCAGAAGGTGAAGTAATTTGCCCAAGTTCATCCCACCAGTAAGCAGTGGAAGCGGGATTCAAAGTCAAGTTAGTCTCACCTCCGGAGATCACTAAACTTACCCAGCAAATCCCACCCTTCCTTTTCCAGCCCTGCTCAGCCTTGGAAGTCCTGCCCCTACCCCCGGACCCAGTGCAGGCCTCCCCTGAGCTCAGTGTCGCCATGTCCGTCACACTGGTAGGAAAAGGTGAGAGGTAGTAGGGGATTGGCTGCCCCAGAGTTAGCTAGGGAACGTGGGGGTGGATCAGAAAGGCCTGGGAGCCAGAGAAATGAGTTGCCTAGTGAGTGTTTTGTTTTTAATGCTGGGAAACTTTCATTTTCAGTCCCACGGTTGAAAAAGTAAGCAAATTAGTCTTTCATTTGAAAACTCATCTTTGTGGGCCGGCCCCGTGGCTTAGCGGTTAAGTGCGCGCGCTCTGATGCTGGCGGCCCGGGTTCGGATCCCGGGAGCGCCCCGAGGCACCACTTCTCCGTCCAACGCAAGGCCGAGTCCCACGTACAGCAACTAGAAGGATGTGAACCTATGACGTACAACTATCTACTGGGGCTTTGGGGGGAAAAACTGAATAAATAAAATCTTTAAAAAAAAAAAAAAAAAAACTCATCTTTGGGTTGTAGGCACTAGAAACCAGGACATCTTGCAATATTTTCTGAAGTCGCTAAAAAAAACTTTTTTAATTCACCTATGAGTAAAGACTTCTTTTTTGCTTCAGTATATTCAGCATCTCTTTATTCGTTTTCATTATTTTCGCACACAAACACGTGATTTTCTTGCCTCCTCCCCTTCGCTCCCGCTGTCACCCCAGAATCTTTAGAGGGTGGGAGGTGGAGGGACACCTTTCTTTTCTATTTCACCCCTTTTTCCCGTTCATGCCCCCTACCTCCAAGAGCCGTTGAGTCCTAGAAATTGTGGGTGGAAAAGCTAAAGGTCACCACTTAGCCATTTCTCGTGTTAAAGTTTCCCCATCCCCTTTCTCAACACTTTGTACGTCACTGAAGCCGTGTGGAAATACCGAGTGGTATCAAAAAAGAAAAAATCAGCCTGTTCCCGTCCTCTGTCCTCACAAATGCCTCTGCTGCCCTCAACTCCCACCATCCTTGGGATGATAAGTTCTCGACTTCTTTAAAGCAGAACCTTCTTGCTAAATGAAAGGTGGGATTCTAGTAAATTAAGCCACCCTTGAGCCCAGAGTTTCATGGGAGCTGCTTTGGAAAATACCAGATTAGATGATTTAGAAAAAGCCTTGGCATTTGCCCACACGTGCCATGTTGCATCAAGACTCAGCTCAGAAAAGCCCCTGTAAAACAAGAAACAGAATGAGAAGAGGTTTCTCTATAGACTCACTAATGCTCCTAATTAACAACTGTGGAAAAGATTCAGCTAGATGGATTTGCTTCCTCTGATTCACTGTGTGACCTTGAAGACCCATAATTCCCCAGCATGCCTGTTTCTTCAGTTTTTACAGAGGAAAAATCCTATAATTACTTCTCCTCAGGGGACCCCCGACTGACAAATGCTGTGTGGGAACTTAGCAGGATATTGTTTCTCTTCTGACAGTGGAAGTTTGGAGGGGAGGCCTTTGGCTGCTCTCTCAGATCCCTGGGATGCAAGAGTGCAAGGGATGTAAGGGGAGGAGGCAGAGCCTTTTGTGAGAGGAACCAGAGCCTTCGGGGAGGGAAGGGTCCAAAGCCCCAAGCCTGTGTCCTCTGATTCAAGAGATGTGTCATCAGGGCCCATGATAGGGGAGGCAAATGAGGTTCCAGAAGGGAAAAAATTATATATATATATATCCTTGAGAAAAGACTAAGGGGATTGTGACACGACCTGGGGCCAGGGCTCAACATGTAGGCACAAGTGTTGGTGACAGAGTCGCTGGTAAAGGAAACCCCCACTTGTGCCACTATGGCTATTAGGAGAGAGCAAGGACACTCTTGCAGGCAACATTATGGAAGGTTGGGGAGCCAGTGCTATAGTACTGGGGCATTCTAGGAACCGGGGAGGGTTGGGGAGGAAGGTCTGATGTGGTCCTTACAAAGGGGCCCTGGATCTCTGTGCTACCACTTAACTTCCTAAACTGTTCCCAAAGAACCAACATGGGCAGCCAGGCCAGACCACGTGACGCAGTGTTATCTAAAAAAATATAGCAGAACCAGTGTTTCTTTTCTAGGAGTTAGAAAGCCCACACACCCAGGTTGAAAATGGAAAGCACCCTCATTGCCATTGAGGGTCATATACTGAGCATTAAACCCACATAGACTGCAGCTTTAGGCCTTGCTACTCAAACTGTGGTCCTTGGACCAGCAGCCTTTGTCAGAAATGCAGAATCTCACAGGGCTGGGACTAGGGTGAGACAAGCAAGTCACCCAGGGCACAAAATTCAAGAAGGCCCTCCCGTCAGGACAGTGCAATGCCATTCTAGGTGCCTCCTTACCTCACTGCAGTCCCAGCG